GGTACAAAGGGCCTTTATTGGCAACATTGTGGCAACAAACACATCAGTTCAGGAGATACCCTCACAGGATACAAGAGTTGATTTGGCACTTACAAAGGAAAATGATAATGATAACATAGAAGATGCAGACTTTGAAATGTTTAAAAATAGTGAAAAAGCAAAATGGAAGGGGGGCAAATTGTGGTCTGAACAATTTGAAGAAGATGCAGAAGAAGGAGTCATCCCTGATGTAATGCAAAGTGAGGAGGAAGTTGGGGGGGACTGCTTGGATGAAGAAGATCAAAGTGTAAATGATAAGTCAAAAGGCAACAAACCTTTAGAAAATCAAGTCAAAAACAATACAGTAGCAAAGGGTGAGGAGCAGAAGAAGAACTCAGAAAATAATTCTAATGCAGATAAGGTGGATGAAGTGGTGTTTACTAAGGAGGTTGATGGTAATAACATTGATCCAGGAGGAACAGAAGAAGGAAAATGTACTGATTCCACTCATAAGGTACAGCATAAAGACAACACACAGATAGTATCAATTCATGATCAACACACAAAAAAGGCAAAACTTGTCACTGAGGCACCTCTGAGGGTCAGTGAGAAAGCAGTGATGCAAATAAATGTGGCAGGTATTCATGCAGATGATGAACAAGAAGGTATAGGAAAAGATATGGATGAAGAGTCTACAGCCCAAAACTTCTTCAATATTGCCAAACAAGGAGATTTGTCCCCTAGACATATTGAGCAAGTTAAATCTGCAGCAAAAGGTAAGAAGAAACAACAGAAAGACAATTCATCTGCACCAGCAGGTGGGGTCCAAACAAGAAGAGCTCTGTCCAAATCCATTAATCAGTGATGGATGCAATCATATGGAATATCAGGTCTGTTAATACTATGCAGGCCTTTGAGAGACTAATTCTTATGCATAAGAAACATCATTTTGAATTCATTGGAATAATGGAGCCTATGCAACAAGCTAACAAGGTTGAAAGGTATAGAAGCAGAATAGGACTTGCACAAGCAGTAGTAAATGTGTCAAATAAAATATGGGCATTCATTGATGAGGTTTATGAAGTGGACATTCTGTACAATATGGTACAGCAGCTGACATTGAAGTTATTCCATACTGAAACTCATGTAGAATTAATCCTTACACTGGTATATGCCAAATGTGATCACATAGAGAGAATAGAATTATGGGATTCATTATATGCCATGGCCTCTGACATGACATCTCCATGGTTAGTGGGAGGGGATTTTAATGTCATATGGGATGAGGAGGAGAAATTTGGTGGATTACCTGTGTCTCTAAATGAAGTAGATGATTTCAGACATTGTATCAACACTTGCAATCTGACAGATTTGGGGTTCAAAGGAAGTATTTTTACTTGGTGGAATGGAAGATCAGAGGATGATTGTATCTTTAAAAGGTTAGATAGGTGTTTTGGGAACATAGAATTGCAGCAAACATTCCCAGGACTGGAGGTTACTCATATGTCAAAGACTGGCTCAGATCACTGTCCAATGCTCTTGAAGTGTGACATTGAAAACCCTCCAATCAAGAAGCCTTTTAGATTTCTAAACTTCTGGACAAAACATGAAGCATTCAAGACAGTGGTGAAGGAGAACTGGAATG